ATATATATATAAAAGGACAGGTCATAAATCTGAGCAGCTGGTGGTAAATCCGAAGAGCCTGCCTTCTTTGTAAGTCTGAACAGTCGTTAACCAGATAGGTCATTAAATGAGTATCTGTGCTATTATTTTCAATGCAGTGACACACACAGTTTGGGAATTCAAAATCAGTGCAATCTAAAACATTTTATTTTATTTATTATATTTTGTTTTTTATATGCACTAGCATCTAGTAAGTAGAGAGCAGGGATGCTATGAAATATCCTGCCATGAATGGAACAACACCCACAACAAATAATTATTTGGTTCCAAAAGTCACTTAATGCTGACTAGTTTAAACACTGCTCTACTGTAACTGTTTATCTATTTCTTTCATTTAATGGCTGATTTGTTCATATTTCTTTTCCCAGTATATTGCCTGGCACATTCTAGGAGATCAAAAATATCTGTTAAATGATTGAATGACCTCTGAGGGTGACAGTAATCTCCTGTTTACTCCTGCTAGCTTTTAACCCCACACTAGGCTCTCTTATCTTGCTCAGCACAGATTCTGACCTTTCACTGCCCAGGCCCTCCCTCCCCATTTCACTCCTGTTACAACCTATGCAGGTCATGGATGATAGAGAACTTATAAAATGACACAAGCAGCAAAGCACAGCCAGGGCACCTGGGCTGCAGGCTTTGCCAGAATCAAGACTGGAGGCCTGAGAATGGAGGGAGGAGAGAGGGTCCAGGTCACCAGGCAAATGGGCAGTGGGACTATGTGGTTTGGGGATCAAAAGCTGATTAGTTTTCAAATCTTCTAGAGCCATTTATTTAATTAGGGGACAGGAAGCATCATTTCTAAGGCTGCAAAAGCCCCTCCCCCTTTATAAAGCAGCCCATATGAATATTTTCTTGAAACACTGAGTCACTGCCCATTTGTTTCTTTATGCTTATGCTATTGAGTTCACATGAATTATGATAAGCTCATTCTACATGATTGTAAGGGGCTGGTAATTCTCAGCAACTTCAAGAATGAAATGTTCATAAAGACTTTCAGGTCAGTGACATATATGCTTTGGGAATGAAAAATCACTGCTGTCTAAAAACATTATTTAATATTTGATATTTTGTTTTATAAATAATTTATGTTCAAAGAAATGTAGCCAGGCAAATTTACCAAGCAACTAAGGCTTAAGGGGTTGCTGAACTTTTGAAGGTAAAAATGAGTTGCTTTCACCAACAGCCCCACGAGTTCACCCCTGAATTCCTTCAGAACCTTGGATGAAGGCCAACTTGTCCCTGTGATTTATTCAAATCCATTTTGTCAACTAGGTCTAGAACATTCTGTGCATCTACTACTTTGATCTAGTATCTCTGTTTCTAAAGAAGATTTGAGAACGGTATTTCATTTAGACATATTTTTTTCTGAAAAGAGAAAGTCAAATTATTACACCTCTTTGCTCTTTTCCTTATCCTTCAAGGAGTATTTTTTATCTTCTACAAAGATTCTACCAGGTCTTGGACTGGCACCTTCACTTTAATTACTTTAAAAGTCCTTTTTATAATTTTTGCTTTAATATCAGTGTCTTATAAAATGCTCCTTAAATTATGCATGGGTCTTTTTCATAGGTTTTCTAGGGAAGTATCCCTGTTTTCCCAACAGAATTAACTTTCTATTGTTTTAGAGAAGTTTCTTATGAAGTGTCTTTGCCTTAAGCAGTACTCTTTGAACTGCATTTGTAAATAATAATTATTGTTCCAGATAATAATCCAACCTCCAGAAATATAAAGGTGTAATCAGTTAAGGCACATAAAGGGGCTCACATAACGCTGAAACCAGTTATTCTTATCGCACAGAGAACCTGTTTTTTTTCTCAACCATACTTTCCCAACAGATTTTTTGAATCTTGTCTTATTTTGTGCTTCTCATAAGGTGTTTTGTAGTTTTGCAATTAAATTTTATAAAAATTAATTGGCAAGATTTTTTAGTATCTTTCTAATCATTATTCATGATTTTCTTAATTCTTGTCACATGCTTATTATCTTAGTTTCCCATTCCTCCAACCGTCGACATATTCCTTAGGGTAATTAAAACACACTAGCTCACACAAAGATACTCCCTACACCTTCCACAGTGCTGCTCTTCCTTTTTTTCTGAAAAATCATTAGCACAGGAAATGATCATTTGTCCTAATTCATCCAAGGGAGATATTTTGCCAATCTGTGCCAATCTATAAGTGAGTAAGCACCCTCATTACTACTAATTGGCCTAATTTTTTAGCTCAGGCAGCCCCGTTCCAGTTTCCAGCACAATCTCATTATCCTTGTCAGGTGGCCCAGATCCCCTTTCTACTGCCATATCTTCATTAACTATTGATTAGCTCCACCCACTGGGCATTTCCTGATGGCATTTTTATGCTGAGGCTCCTTGGATTTCTCCGTTACTCTAACAATTTATTTCATGATCTTGGCTTCTTATCCTTCTCTGTCTTCTACTACAAGAGGGGCTGCAATTCCTGAGAAACCCCAAAGTCTTCTCTTTGTACCTCTATTTTCTGCTCTCACTAGAGCTTCCTTCAAGTTCCACCTGGCTCTTAGGTGCTATGGACTAAATGTAAATAATAGATGGACTGCTTTCAATTAGCAATAATTGTGCCTTGGATAAACCTCACTGGCTACGATACTGCCACTGCACAAAGCTATATAATAGATGGACTGACTGTCAATCTGTCTGTCTGTCTGTCTGTCTACCTATCATCCATCCATCCATGTATCTGAGGCAGAGCCCAGGAAGCTACTTTAACCCAATCTTCCCAGGGTTGCTGATGAATACTAAAGTTGGAGAAGGACCTTTTTAAAATACTGTTACTCCTTTTCAAAATTCTCTCAACTGTTCCCCATGGAAGAAACTTTTCATGGTTCACCTTTTTATACTGTTTGAGTTTTTTCAAACAAGTACTAGTTTTCATAAGAATAAAAACAACAGACAGAGCCTTATCAAGAACACATTAAGAAGGAAAGGATAACTCTGGCAATCATTCCTGGAGGTTCCTAGCAATTGTTAACCTGCACAATTTCCCTTCTCTCCAAAATGACAGATAGAGGAAGAAGATGGGACCAGGATGTGACAATACATTGATAATATATATTTTGTCTTAGTCCTTGATAAATATCTGTGAATTAAAGATATTTCTTAAGATGTTGTCAATATGACATTGAATAAAATCATGACATCAGGATTTTCCATTTATTTCCATATTTTACAGAATGATTTCTAATTTTTAAATTTTAATATCAGTTCATGTTTGTAATACATAATGACTACAATTATTGTGGGGGAGTTTGTACATATATGTAATGCATCTTAATTCTTTTTTTTACACAGCATGACTTTTTAAAAACGCTCAATTATGAAAAGCATTATTTACAATAGCTTGTCTGAATCTTCATTAATAAGAAAAGCATGGACATAGTACAACCAAGAGTTTGCCTGTTTTAGCCCTGAGGATAGTTTCCTTTTCCTAAAAGCTATAATTGTTCTCAAATCCTCTTAGATTAAACCTTTAAAAAGCCTTATTACTAGCCACCTCAACAACAACAAAAAAGTTATTAGCAGCTATCTTGCTAAATAAAAACATGGTGGTTAAAATGCTAAATTAGAGTAATACAATGCAAGAGGCTCTATTGCTAGTCAACCTTTCCCTCCAAAATACAGGGTCACGTTGACTAAGGTTCATTAAAAAAAAAAAAAAGAAAGAAAGAAAGAAAGAAAAAGAAAGAAAGAAAGAAAGAAAGAAAGAAAGAAAGAAAGAAAGAAAGAAAGAAAGAAAAGAAAAAGAACAACTAGATGCATGGACATCACACCAACCAAATTTGTAGTCATTTCACTGTCTACTACATTTAATGAAAACATTTAATTTTTAATAAATAATGTGATCCCTGCATTCGTTTGTCTTCCATAAGATCAGACATTCACTCCTACCAAGATACCCATACCCTCATGGAAGTAAGATTTGCCAAATATACCCCTTCTACACCACTTTGCACACAGAAAAAATGAGCCTGTGTTAGGAAACTGACATGATTTCTCATGTTATTTTCTTAGGGTTGTTACCCATCCACATGATTGTAGAAGGAAGGAACACTTAACTGAAAAATTTAACCCTAATACCCATAAAATGTTCTATGCTCTTGCAGAAGGTTATAGAAATTCACAGACAGAATTTTGTAAGCTGTTTTGAGAGTAGTCTTCATAGCTTGAATTCCTTAAACACAGTACTTTGCGATGAAGTTAGCCAAATACAGAGAAACAAAAGTTTTCAAGTTTTATTCTAAGTTATTTTTAACAATAGATTTTTTTAAAAAGAAAAGGAACACAATGTGGAATTGAGTTCGTGGTGAGTAGACCACTACTCTTGTAACGACGATCTCTTCATTCCCGAGGAAATTTTATCAAAGAAGATCTAACATGCCTTTAATATTTGTGAAAAAAATTGTCTAACCCCTTAGATAAACTGTATCATCCTTCCCATGAAGGATGGACATTTACATTGAAACCTTTTGAAATATATTTGAAGCACCAAAACTCATGTAACTAATTTTAATCAGGGGCATAATTAAACACATTTGCATCGAACTCCTAAGTATAGTTTTTTCCTTTCTACAATTACTTAAACGTCAGGATATTCCTTACCAGTATCATATTCACATAAGCCAAAAGATTTTTAAAAATCAAATCTATACAAAACAAGGACAATTTATTCAAAAGCTAATAGCCTGGAAAAACAATGAATCAGAAAATTTCACTGAACTAAATGCTGGTATACAACGCCACAGACTTATAAAACAAAACAAAACAAAAGATATATTACAAACACACACACAGGATCCTTTTCAAGATCTTGTAAATTAAAATGCAAATTAAAAAAACTAATCTCAAAGCTGTCATTCAAGGAAATGAAAATTTGCATCTCTATAGTTAAGTATTTTAAGTTAAAACATTTTAGAAATTTCCTTAATAAGGAAAGAAATTTTTCTGATCCTCTTTAAAAATGTCTCATAGGAATTATATTTTGGCTAACACTGCACAGTGGGGCTAGAAAGAGAAGTCTCTAGAATTCTTTCCATGTATTAAGAACCTTGAGGGATGACTTACGTCATAAGAACTCTTACCTGGTCTTCTTTAAGCCTCCAGCATCCTCCCCCATCCTTTAATAAGGTAAAATTGGGTACCTCCGAAAGAGGGGAGAGCCAACCAACCTTCAAGGCTGGCTGAGATCGTGCAAAGCCACAGCTGACAGTCTGCTTCCCTCTCCTGGGGCTCACTGCCTAAGAGCCTGCACAGAAACCCAGTCTGGTGCCAAATCTTAATCCCTTTGCAGAATCTCAGATGCGGCTGCCTCACCTCTTCCATTCCTACAAAGCCTCTTCCTGCTGCACTTCCTTCTGTAACTATTAATCACCACAACAACTGACCAAGTAAATCCCAATTTCAAACCAAAGTGAAGAATCCTGCAACATGCAGGGTGATGAGTATTTACATTAGCCAAAATGAGATGATGTAATATTCACAATCAAGGGAGGGCTGTGTTCCAAAGTCAGGGCATTGCAAGAACCACTGTGAAATATAACTTCTCTACTTAAACAACACTGTAGTTTAAAGTCATTTGGATTTGGATTATGGTTTCCAAATCGAAATCAGGAGTTCTCAGTTATTCATAGTTTTAGTCAAATAAACAAACAAATAGTACCAAATAGAACTCAGTATCTACTCATGTACTAAGAACCCGGCATCAAGAGGATAATGAGGTGGTACCTGCCGGGCTGCAGGATACCAGAGCCTGGAGATGTAAGTGCCTTCAAAGTAAAGGTAACTCCCAAGAAAAGCAATGTTTATTTAAACTAGTGGTCCATTTTTCTTCCCATACAGTATCTGTATATAGTCAAGAAAACTCAGGGGTCCCAATCCTATCCCTGATGGACAACTTCTATTGATCACTTCAGCATCGTAAGACCCTCAAGCGGGGTGAGACAGGACAGCTTGAGAGGTCACATTCATGCCAGATGGGGAAAGAGTCTGTCAATAGCACTGGCTTGGGAGAGAGGCTAGGTAAGGTATTACACAGCAGATTAGAAATTAACTCGAGGGCCGGGGATTTAGCTCAGTGGTTCTGCCACCTGCCTTGCAAGTACAATGGACCTGAGTTCAATCCCTGGTACAAAAAGCAAACAAACAAAAAAAGAAGTTAGCTTGAGACTTGCAAGGACACCAGGATGCCAGAGGAAGAGTGCTTTTGGATGAGTTATTAACCATAACCTTCAACATTAAAAAGAGCACTATTATGCATTACCTCATGTAATTCTCACAACAACCCCATGAAATAAATGCTATTTTTTGTTCTCGTTCTACAGATGAAGAAAACAAAGCTCCAAGGTTATGTGGTGAGCTGACATGTAATGGTAGCAAGTTTCCTGACATGCTCCTTACACATGACTCCATATCACTCCTACCAGCTTTGCTCCTTACACAACCACTCTGTGGAGGGACAAAGAATTATGTTGGTAACTCCCTAAATGTAAATCTTAGTGCTTTGTGCATCTAAATATACTCTTTACTTTGGAGCTGTATATACTTCCACCCTTCCAGCATGAATTTTCTAATATGTGATTTTAAGTGATGCAACTGCTAGATGAGTCGTTTTATTAAAAACAGAATTTATGCATTGAAATGAAAATCTACTCCAATATGATGCCAATATTCAGCTTTCCCATTTAGGAACTGTACTCAGGGCAGTACATGGGAAATTCTCACCTTCCTTACATAAAACAGCCCCCATAAGGCATGTATTATTGTCTGTTCCATGGATGAGGAAATGGGGGCTCAGAGGTAATGAATGATTTGCATAGGATCATACAGTTAGTAAAAGAGACAAATATGGATTGAAGCCCGGTCTGATAGATTCCAGAACTTCTGCATTGCCATTGTTCCAACAATGCTTTTGTTGCTCAGAGTAATTCTGAGACACCTGTTTGGAAACTTCCTTCAGAAACTATGTATTCAATATTAGTAAATATACATTTTTAAACATCTGCTTCATTCTGGGCACCACACAGGGTGCAGACATATGATCTTGTCCTCCTAAGGCTCCCAGGCAGGAGGCAGGAGGGGGAATTCTGCCCCATGAGAGATTGGGAAAAGTGTCACAACAGAGATACAAAGCATAATGGGAGTTTGGACCAGTGAGAAATTACTTCAAAATGATCCAAATCACTGCTAATATACTCAGTGGTGGTAAATATCTATCAGAGGATGGATGTAATTTTGGCCCACAGGCAAATGAGTCAGAGCCAAGTCTGGGGAATAAAATGGGTCATTATGCTGGACAATACCATTTTTGGTCACGACCTAGGTGTGGCTATAAAACAAAACAGTGAGATGGCTTTTCCCATGTGGCCCACAACAGCTCCAAAGACGATTTCTAAAAGACAGTGCCAAAAATGTTTCACACAGCCGGGGATTTAGCTCAGTGGTTCCGCAGCCTATCTGAAAGTGCAAGGACCCGAGTTCAATCCCCAGTACAAAAAAAAAAAAAGTTTCACACAATGATACAATCTCCAGATTAAAGGGACAGCCACCCAAAAACAATTCCAAAAGATGAGGCTTCCCCAGCATAGCACCTGCCCACACCAGAAGTAGCAGTCTGCAGAATCACTCACTCTGACCTCCCTACTGGCAGGGCCAATAAACCTGCTTGCTGCTGTGCCCCAGTTTCTGGCATTATGCTTGGTATTGTGGTGGTGGTGATTGGGGTGCATCAATAAATTTCTGACTAAGAAACTTTTGAAAGTATGGCTATTCTTGCTTTCAGTGCTAAGAGGAGTGAGTACAAGGCACTAAAGATCTGTTTAGGACTTGTGGCCAAATGGGTTGACTGGTTCTTCCCTTAGTGCTAGCTCTGGAAGTCAGACAACACTTGGGGAAAGTCTCCACAACCCTGCCGTGGGTAAGCAGAACATACTGCAGCCAGGTGGTCTCCTAATAAACCTGTTTCTGGAAACTTCAGAAGCCCCAGAAAGAATCTCCCAAATATAGCCTTTACCCTCATAAACATTCCTAAAAATGGGGTTATGTCTGAGACTCCAAAAATTCTTCAAATCAGCAGAACCAACTGGAGTTCAGAGTACATCTCTCTGATGAGGTTTCTTTAGACTACTATGGGTATCACTTTCCTCTCCTTTCCTGTCCTTTTTTTCCTAGTTGCTGCTGCTTGTGGATGACTTACTAATTAGGCATGGGAATGAGCCAGTACCAGTAGGGCCAAGAACTGTCTGCCACTAAGGCTAAGAAATTTCTGAGGGCCAAGAAATTTTTAATCTAAAACTGTCTGCCACTAAGGCTAAGAAATTTCTGAGGGCCAAGAAATTTTTAATCTAATATGATCATCCGACCACCATTATTGAAGGAAGGAGATGGTCTGTCATTAGCTGTGAAACCTTGCTAGGCTATTGAAACAGCCCCACTTCCTTCATTTTTAAATATATAATAATAAAACACAAGATTGTTAAATAAGAAAATAGAAGTAAAGTACTTATAACAACAGTACCTGGTCCAGGGCAGATTGTTAACATAGTACTTAGTTGTGATTTAAGCCTCCTGGGAGTGGAGCAGCCAGACATTGAGTTCAGGAGACCAGTGAGAAGGAGCATTTGTGCATTTATATATCTGTTCACTATGCTATTCTGCAAGAATGATTTATCCTGCTTATGTCATGAAAATATTTGATGTGGCTTCTAATATTAAAGTATATAAAACTAAACAGTAAGACCATCAAGTTCTAAGACATATTTGGAGAACTGAGTTATTTGAGAAAAGCCACAATTCGGAACTACTGCATTTAGCTCTGAGGTGTGTGGCAAACAGAACAGTAAGCAAAATACCCCAAAGTGTATCACTTGACACCCTCCAACAGTATAAGGGATCAAATTGACAGAGAAACTTTTTCTGGCCCCAAATTTCAAGTGGAATGTATAAGCTGGGGTACTTGAGGTAATATAAAGTTCCTCTAGACTTGCCTAAAAGATACTAGGACATCTCTTCAACAGCCCAGACTTACATGCTAAGGGTTCATATTAAAATGTAGTTCAGGGTGCCCACCCCCGACACCATCTGGTGGGCCACTTGAAGTCCTGCAGGCTATGAAGGCACCCTTCACAATACTTTTCCTGACATGCCTGTCCTTGTAAGGTAAAAACTTCAATGGGAGCCTTCCTCCTTTAAAGCCTCACCACAGAACATCTTGTTTGGCCCATTCAATAGAAGGATAAAAGCTCTACACAGAAATATGCTGTGAATGAAAGACCTGTTATTATGCAAATAGTATGGCACTCTGAACAGACACTCAAAACAGCTCTCATCTCAAAGAACCCAAAGCTTGTAACACAGTATGAGAAATTAGATGCTGGGGACGATGTTTAATGAATGAAGCCTTCCAGCCAGCCAGTGATCTCTTTGGACCTTACAGTCCCAGTCACATGGGATCACCTCCCACCCTGAGGATCCCCAGGACGTCGAGGAGTTTTTCAGTAATCACTATAGAAAGACACCCTCTCCAGAGAAATGCAGTATTCACATACAGTCCATTGGAGCTCTGGGAAACACCAGAGTTATCAGTGAAGGATATATTAAATGGCTCAAGGGCTACTGCGAAGCATTTTTCTATGTTCTGAGAGTAAAACTGATAAGAACCAGTTTTAGTTTCTGTAACCAGGTGTTCCTTTAGAGTCAATGATCATACACAAGATCTACAAATTTATGCAGGGCATATCCTGAATTTCTTAAAAGAGAAGAAACCTGAAGATGCCTTCTGTGTTGTAGGGATAACAGTGATTGATCTTTACCCGAGACTTGTGGAATTTTGTCTTCAGATAGGCCTCTTTGACAAAGGACTTTAACCCGTGAGTTTGGACGTATATTTGCACTTTGACACTGCCAATAGTTTGCATGACTAATGCAAGGCTCCAACCACTTGCAAGAAGCTGACAGACACCCTCTAAACCTTTGCCCTATCTGCTTATGCAAGTTGCAGTGTTCTATTGGCTTCAGTATTGTAGAAAGATACAAGGCATCGGTAAGGAGGATCCACGAGGAATCCACTGACACACCAAGAGCAACTCCAAAGCACAGTCATGAGAAAAATGTGAATTTGCTGAAATCTGTGGAAGCCTTTAAGGAATGGAAAGAGTGGATAATAAAATGCCTTGCTGTTCTCCAAAAATAGGTCTTCAGATAGGAGTAATAAAATAAATACATGCACATTAAAAAGTGAATAAATAAATAAAATATAGCTCAGGATAGGCATTAATGAATATCAGTCCTAGAAGGGACTTTCAGTGTAGCACCCCACGCACACACCTTTTACAGAAGTAGGAACAGTGTTCTGGGTGGCTGAGAGGAGAGCTGGCTGAGGACCCAGACTCAGCTTCTAGACAAGTGCTTCTCCAACCCCAAACTCTTGCTCTGTCCCCCTATTTCTTCCATTAGCAAACAGAAGTGTCCTTGTGTTCCTCCCCACAGGGAATCGCAAAGAAGCAGCAGTCTCCCTCCCAATGTGGGAAACCCTTTCTTTTCTTTTAAATTTAGTCAAAAATAAATTTTAGGGCTGGGGATTTAGCTCAGTGTTGCCGCCGCCTGCCTCAAAAGTGCAAGGTCCCAAGTTCGATCCCTGGTACCTAAATAAATAAATAAAGATTTTTAAATGTTGAAAACTTTGAAGTCCAGCCAGGAGAACTTCTAGGGGACTTTAGAAAGCCTTGCAGCACTGAGCTGTTCAAAATTCTCAACCCTTAGCAGCCTCTGATAAGATGCAGAAATGCATTCCCTATACAAAGTCTAGTTTTATAAGGCAGTGTGTCGCTGCCTCTGTGCCTCATGGTGTTCTAAAGGTCCTTTCATTTCTCCAGTGTGCTATGTAGAATGTTCTATCAATGCAGGATTTGAACCCTGGACTTCAGACCCAAGATCTTGACCACTCAATTTTTTAGCGGAACAAAAGTCTGTGTATGCTAGATAGGAACAAGGTCTGGCAACTGTGCCAACTTGCAGTTCCCCATTTTAGCAATAAATTTTGTGAGGCCAACACTTGGCAAATATCTTACAAACTGTATTTGGTCATTCTGAAGCTGTGCGAGACTATCCAGGGAAATGATCTTAAACTCTGTTCAATTCTTGAATTGAGGTATCTTAAGGACAATATCAACAAATGTGGCTCCCAAGTAAGTCCACTCCTTATACCTAAGGGGGAAAGATGCTTCCAGCTAGTCATGGGACATGGGTGTTTGCTGTGACTAGGCTGGAAAAAGAGGGGCTTCAGTGGGCTGTGTGGTAGATACTCAGCAAGGCCTGGATGTGATTTCCTGCTCCGTCACATGGTTAAGTACAACCCTGGACAAATGGCTTAATTTCCCTAACTCTGTAACCTTTTCTGTTGAAGTAGATAATAATTTATAGAGTTGTGGGGCATTACACAAGATTGTTAATAAAGCTGCTCAGGCCGGGGATTTAGCTCAGCGGTTCGGTGGCCTGCCCGGCAAGCTCAAGGACCCAAGTTCAATCCCGGTACCAAAAAAAAAAAAAAAGCTGTTCAGAAAAATGATAGGCACACATGATAGGCTCAAAACCCCAAAACAAAACAAAAAAACTAATAACAACAATAAGTATCTGTTGTTTATATTCGAATACAAATTAATGTTAAAATCAGTAATATTAAGAGTCCTTAATCTGAATTAGATGCTGCTAAACATTTGAGGTAGTTTCCCATACTGCCGAATGTTATTTTAC